CCTTACCTTATCAATCTCCTTGTTAATCTGATCAATGGTCTTTGTTTCAGCACTTCCAAGGATTTTCTGAAAACGTAAAATATAAAATTATGGGATTCCACGTCTGTGTTTACAGTACAGTAACCTTTTTTACAGAAAAAATACAGTACGACAAACTACGAACCCCCTAAGAATTGGAATTTGTAGATCAAAAAATTTCCTATCGATTGGTATAAATATCATGTAGGTTTTATCAGAAAATTAAGCTCGAAAATCCAATTTCCGATTTTTTTTCAACTTTCAGCCCTATTTTCTGACACAACCCCATATGAAATTTATACCAATCGATAGAGAATTTTTTGATCTACCTCTCCTAACTCACATCAATAACTTCCGTAGACGGTGTCCTTTGTGTGCTCACAATTGCTCCAAAGAGCACCAGAATGGCAATATTTCTGATCATCACCAAACCAAATAATAAATATTTTGATGGAACACGCCAAAATAGAGACTAATTGTCTTTCCAAAGATGGGCAAAAGACAGCTAAGTGGGCGGAGCCTGAAGGAGCAGACCCTGTGTAAATAGAATGACCAGAAACAATAGGAACAGAACAACAAGGGAGCCGGACAGCAGATGTGTGAAAAGTGTCTGTGGAGGGAAGGGAGGGATGGTGGGCAAGCAAACATCATGTTATCCCACTTTTTCTGCTGTGTGAAACAAACCGACCAATTGTTTTTTTTTCTCTTGAGAGAAGAAAAATGGTTGTTACCGACGGAAGTTTTTGGTTTTAGGTGTCAGGTTTCAGGAAGAGACGGAAATCGAAAAAAGTACATTGGGGATCAATTACAGGACAAACAAAAAAAAACAAAAAAAAATGACGCTCATGGGAATCGAACCCGCGTCGAAAAATTCTCAGACAGCAGCGTTAACCACTACACCATGCAGGCGACAACGGCGCGGGGGAGAGAGGGGGTGCACGTTACTGCCGCCGCCTCCCCTTTTCTCTGCAGGGGGCGTTGGTACCAGGAAGCTTACACCTTGAAGGCGCATGAAGAAAGGGTCTCACCACGACTTGAAGAGATTACTGTAGTTTTTTTTTCGAAAATCACGTAATTTTGTTTCAATTTTGATTTGCAATAACTTTTTTTGATGACCGGGGCAAATCAATTTTACCACGCTATTTTTTCCCAAAAAATTTTTTCCACGTCACCCCTCCCCTCCCGTCAAAAAAATTTATTTCTGTATTCCTCTCACCCCGAGGGTACCCCACACTCACACTGTGCTTCCAATCTTCATTCTCTCGTCGAAATGTTACATTACCTGTTGTCGGTTGCACTCTTTATTATTGAAAACGTAAGCTCCGCCCCTTTTGGTAGATCAAAAAATTTTTGATCTACCATTTTGCCCCAAAAACCAAGAAATTTCCAGAAATTAGAGCTATTTGTCTCGTGCATACTCGGTGTGGTCATCTACTTTCTGTGGCCGGCGAAAGACGATTCGGAGGGGTTGAATGATTGGAAATGTTAGTTTTCAATAAGGGGCGGGGTTATTAGGGACCGTCCCATGGAAAACAAAAAAAAAAACAAAAAAGATTGACCCCACGGGGGATCGAACCCGCGATGCGAAATTCGAAAACGAGAGCGTTAACCACTAG